GAGGTTAAGGTTGTTCTAACCAGGAGCATGCCACTTGATCTGGTGATCCTGTGTCATAGAAGAATAAGACCTCAAAGTACAGAGAAAATACAGGTTTTCTTTGTAAGTTTTGAGCTGTTTTTTGAATGCAAATTACATATTGAAAACAGTAAAAATTGGGAAGAATGCATAAATCATCAGTACATTCATACATTTATTAATGTAAATACATTTAGTGTACAATTCAACCCAATGTAAAAATATAAACTTAAATATATTAACTCTACTTCTTTAAGTTAAAAAGATATGAGACAATTCAAGACTGCTACCATGTTAAAAAATATGTATATATATATATCTGGAATACCTTTCAATTTAGGCTTAAAAAAATCAGTCCTTGGTCCACAAATGTTTTAAAGGAATAGGAAAAAATGTTAAGGCATCCAGTTGGACAAATTTAAGAACACTCAGGATAACAAAGGCTTTTAGCTTTAGGACAAAGCATACATTTTAGTTTAAGGCTGAAAGATTCTTGTATCTAACTTAAGCTTCCTTGGGAATTTATGGAGAGAAAATGAATTACTCAAACTGGAACTATATCAAAATGTCAAGTTAACACATTTTGGCTTGTAAGGATGCCAACGGGGCTAATGTCTGAATGATCAGGGCCTTAGGTTTCTAAATCATTTTAAAGATAATTTCATTAGCAGGATGCTGGAGCTTTCATTTTATTTTTTTCTTTGCTCTTTCCCATCTCTGCTTTAACTTATGCAACACTAACCAAGACCTGATAAGATCACGTTGCAGTTAATTGAAACAGCCGCCAAAAAAACAGCTGCAAAGAAAAATGTCAACACAGAAGTCCACAAATTCAGAAAAAAATAAAATTAACAATTTTCTCAAGATAGTCAATGATGCATTTAGTTTTCTCTGAACTTTTCTTGGGTTTCTGAGAGTTGAATAACTCGTATTATCTAAGATAGTATTAAAACCAAGGAAGAACATCAGTAGACTGTGGTTGCCAATGTTTTATGTTTTTCTTGCAAACTTTTCTGATTGGTGCTTTTTTTCCCTAGTATTTATTCCTTGCTCAGTAACTTTTCCATGACTCCCACATCCAATTCCTGGCCGGAGATGGGCTTATAAACTGGATGAGTCTAATCGTAGTACCCACTCACCCAGCAGTTTGTCCAAAGGTTGGTGGTATGACCCGAGCTGAGCTAATCAGGGTCCATTTAGAGCAAGAGGAGAAGTGGCCCAGCCTCTGTGGTCAGGGTACTGAAAGACAAAAAGCAAGCCGGTGGAAGACCATCTTTCCTTCCATTTGGAAAAAGCCTGTCTGCAGTAAGAGAGAATGGAGCAAAGATAGAGTGAAAATTAGGGGTGGGCAAAGAGAATCCTGGGGCATTGAATCTTGATTCTAATCCTTGAAGCCTTGATTTCTGTAGTTTTTCTTTGCCTCTGTAAGCTCTTCTCAAGCATCCTTTCTTGCTACAGGAACTAATAAATCCCCTTTTTGGCTTAAGCCATTTGGAATTGGGTTTCAAACATTTGCAGCCAAAATTCTAACACAGAATATAAGCTCGCCTAATCCCACGTATCATTTTACAGACAAGAATACTGAGATGTCCTTGCCTAAGATCACACATCATGATTCAATTGCCTTTCTGGCTCTTCAGTCTACCATGCAAAGACTCATACATTGAACACCTGTAAAAACCCCACATGTACAACTGGTGATAGGCTAAGTAAACTATAATACCCTTAGATGCTGCAGACTACTGGGGTAGACTGAATTATTGGTCCTAATTCTTGTCATAGCTCCACTAACTTGTACCTTGTGCTTTATAACTGCTGTGCTTCCCACTGTGGGCAGAAACAACCCCCCACTCAACTAACACTGGGCTTGCTCAGGAGAACTTGCTCTGATGAATGTACACTTAAGAGGGTCTAAAGCTGCCCCCATGGTTTGGCTTGTCTTCTTATGCTTCTGCCACTTGTTATAGGTGAGAATCTGTGTAACTAAAAAAGAAATTTTACCTATTTTTTGAATAGGCCATATTTGCACATGCTATAAAATTCCAAAGGTACGAAAAGGTATACAATGAAAAGTAAACATCTTCCTTACTGTCATCCTCAACCACCCAGGTCCCCTCCCCAGAGGAAGCTGGTACCCTCCAGAGAATCCATATCCAAGAGAAGTCAAATAGCCTGAGTCAGATCCAGGCCAGAAGGCGGGGGGCTTCTGGATCAGGCTGGAAAAAGTCCTTTCTGAGAAGAACCCGACTCTCTTACTTGAGGATACATTATTTATAATCTGAGAGACCAGCTCCTCCTGTAGGCAGACTACAAAGGACTCATTACTGTAGACTGACTGCTAGTCTATAAAAGCACTTGTCATATGGAGCCGTATCATTTAAACTCTGAAAAATTCACTGTTTCCAAAATGTGCTTGAGATTACTTCAGGATATATCTGAAAAATCAGATAGTGGATTGCTTCTTGACCAAAAGTAGGTTAGCAAGTAAGCACATATTGTTATTTTAGTTTGTGCCATCTTCAAATTATTTTTCTCTCCTTTTAGAGGCAGATCATTCCAACTCAGACCAAACAATTGAAAACACAGTAAAAGTAATTTTCATTTTCATCTACTTAAAGCAGTATACAAGTTACCTGTTTTCTCATTTTGAATTGTTTGAGATTCAAACTAAATTTAAAAAATTAAGCTGAAATGGTAACTTACATGTTTAATTCTAATTTGTACCACTGATTGACTATACGTGATATTTTCATCTGCAAAAATGTTTAAAACTTTTTTCCTAAAAGGGTAATGAAATGAACAAAACAACCACTGATCAAATTTAGAAATTTATTTATAAAACTTAATTGCTTTTAAAAAAAATTATTCATGAAAATTAACCAAAAATAAACCCTACCAAAGTTTATTACAATAATCTTTCACAGAATCAATAGCTTAAAAAAAATCCCCAGTGAATACTTTAATGTAAAACCACAATGTAAAAACAGGAATTTTAATTCTAGTGACTAGAATAACAGCAGATAAATAATCTCCTTCAAAGGAAAAAAAAAAAAACACTTGAGGGGAAAAAAATGGTGTAACATGTGTAAAGCCGGAAATTTAAATATCAGTTTAGTTCCTCATTGCTAACATGGCATTTATATCCCAGATGAGATTTCGTAATTGATCCATAATTTGCTTCAGCTGTTGATTCTTCTGTTTGAGTTTCTGTAGAAACAAAAGAATTTATCAAAAATGTTTCATGAAATATAGACCATGAAGTTAGAAGATTAAAGTGTCATAAGTTAGAACGCTAATGATCCAGACAGAAATTAAGCTTTATAAATATTTCCTTAAGGCAGAAGGTCTCAATCTTTTTCTGGCCACAGATACTCACTAAAAAGCTTAATGAATTCCAGTTCAGCTCAAGGAGGCCTGTGGCTCCAGCCCCCACCCCCCTTACCCCTCCACTTTCTACCACCAAAGAAAATAAGCTAAATATTTCATTGTCATAAAACCTAAGTACATAGGTTTTCCGAGACACCGCATAATGTAATGATTAAGAGCACAAATCCTAGAGCCAGATTCTCTGGGTTTATACTCAGCTCCTTCACCAACTAAATATATGATGTTGGCCAAGTTACTTACCCTCTCTGTGCCTCAGTTTCCACGTCAGAAAGATGGGGATAACAACTCTTATGAGGTAGGTTTAGTTATTATGAGGATTAAAAGATTTGATTCATGTAAAGTGTTAGAACTGTACATGGCATATAAGTAAGCATTCAACAAATGTTACCAGTAGGCACAGAACATAAACCATCAATACAGAATATAGACTATAATAAAAACGCAATGCATGATGCAACTGGTCTTTCAAACATGTGGCAGAAGTCACGGAGCACAGCATGTAGTGCGACCTGTGTCTGATTCTGGAAACTGAAGACAAGGTGGCACAGCCCCAAGAGGATCTTCTTCACAGCTAAGGCCTGCTGGAGGCCCTGAGTGCGCGTGGCTTTTGTCTCTGCATCTCTAGGTCTGGGTTTTTACTAGACCACAGTTTCCAAATATACTTTCTTCAAATCCAATGTCTGCTTAGGTAAAACAAGGTAAAAATAAAGACTTTCTAGTCAAAGTGTTTTTACTAGTTATTATGATAATCATTACTATTAAGTAACCTTTGGAAACATTACATTGGGAATTGTATTTAATCAGCTAATTTTAAAGATACTATATTAAAATACCTCCAGATAAAGTAGTACATGTTCTTTATAAAGAGACCTAAAAATCTTAGTTTGCTCTTCAATGAAATAAAAAATAAGATTAAATAAGTCAGTTACTCATATTACTTCTGTTTAGAGTTAGAGAGGTAACGGGACGTAAGAAACTAAAAGGGAGAATGAAGAAATTCTTATTGGAAAACAGAAAAGCAATTTGCAGAGACTTTAATGTTTAATATTAATTAAATTTAATTCATATTTGAAAAAAGAATTAACACAACACAGTCAGATGAAACATGACCAGACAGTACGCAGGGCGTGTGTTCAGTACACAGAGCCATAAAGCTCACTCTAACATAGTACTGGGGAGAAAGAGACTATTAGGTAGCATTTTAGGTACTCGGTCTCCTTGTTCAGTTCTCACATGGCCCATCTTCTAAGTTCTTTTGTTATAAGTATGTGGTAGTTTTTTAAGCAATTGTGAACATCACCTAACCAAATGGACCCAGATAACTGGGTGAGGTGACGAATGACTGAATGACCAGTACCAAGCCCATGAAGTCTTTGTCATCCTAGAGACCAAGAAACTTGACCCTTCTGCCAGCAACAAAGGGTAGCAGCAAAGAGGAATATGAGAGTAAATGTGCTGTGTTGGGAGGCTGGAAACCTCGGGTCTAACTTTGCCTCTAACTTGCTATGTGATTTTAGACAAGTTCCTTATCCTCACTTTTCTTGTCTAGGAAATGGGATTATATAAGCTACTAGGCCCTTGCCAGTTCAACTCTACACCCGCATGTAAGATCACTATCAGTTACACAGACAAGTGTAATGAAAACCAGTAACTTTAGTTCAGAGAACTAATTCATGGCTTCAAAGTGGTTCAAAATGCTTCAAAAGTCAGCTACCCTCTTCTACTGAGCCATCACCTGCCTAAGCCATGAGAGACTTCAGTGACCATGATTCCCTGCTCAATTCTTATTTTTTGGGGGAGTGCAGTGGAGAAGAACAACTGAGTAAGACTAAAAGGAACAGCAAGAATATGAGTTGATTTAAAAAAAATTTATTTCAATTAGTACTTTCTGACGTATCTTGAATATGGTCCTTTTTAAAAATTTCAAAACTTCCCTTTGGAATAGAATTCTGAGCGTATAATACATTTTGTTCCATAAATATTTACTGAGGGTATGTGAGGTGCCTGGCTCTGGGTTAAGCATTGTAAGGGAATTAAAATGAGTAAGAAATGGTCCCTGCCTTGAAGAAATTCAGCATCAAGTAGGAGGAAGATAATGCCCAGATATAGACTATAACCTGGTTAAGGCAGATGGTGGAGGAAACATATCAGATGCTGTGGATCCCCAGCTGGTAGAGTGAGAAAACAAGGAGAACACTTTTGACTGGGGTCTAGAAAAGATGGTGAGCCAAGAGTGGAAGGAGCATAAATTTAGGCTTGTTGGTGGGTAAGCGGGACCCAGAACAATCCTGACAGAGGAGAAATATGAGTTAAACTGCAACAACAAAAAAGACTAACTGGGCAAATGTGTGGGATGGCATCTCTTAAGCAATTTCAGTGGTGACGAACCTGTGCCCATGGGGAAGAAGAGGAGGGGTTTCAGTTTTTGAAACAGTTGAAGACCATTCAAAAAAAGAAAGGCCAAGTCTGGTGAAACAAGCTTAGGGATCACATTTTCAGTATAAATTAAGGAGCAACTAGAAGTAATCAAATTATCTTCTTGAGTGGTTAAAGTATGAGACTTTCAAATCAACATCAAAACAGAGGTTATAGAAGGCTCCCACAATGGTTGCATCATTGGAATAAATGCTACTTTCAAGAATACTCATTTGGAAAGAAAAATTCTGATACACTCATTTAAAAAATTTAACCTCATTAATTCTTAAAAAATAAAGGGAATAAAAAATGTGGGATATTTTCAAAATAATATTCAACTCTAAGGAATAGTAAAAATTTTCTAAAGTATGACATAAGGCATTTGGATAGTTTGTCTCAAAGAGTCCACACAGTTTTAAATTTAAAAATTAGCATACAAGTAAAATAGCTAGAGCCAAAACACATCATGAACATATCAACAGCCAAGGTGACAGTTATGCTTATTAGTGGCTAAATTGTAAATAAATTTTCATGGCATGATACAGGATTAAATATATACAGTCTTGCTACTGACTGATTTTAACAGAGGTTGACAGCTGCGATTATCAAAATCCATCAGCTGTGCCTAATTTGTTATGTTAACAGGTGAATGTGTAAGTAGAGTAGATACTTAAAAAATGTTTATGCTAAGTCATACATGTAATTTAATATTCATACAAAGGCTGTGACAGTTGGTCAGAAATGCTTTAATTTCAAAATGCATGGACTCAATTTTATATCAACTCTGTAAAAACCACCCACATATCTCTGAATTTCACTTTACCATCAACAGAATAGTTTTAAGCAAAATAGAAATTCTGCATCCTTAAAACACAGTCTCAAACAAGTGTTCATCTTTTACTTGATTATTAGGGCTTATGAATTTCAGGACATATGAAGAGAAAATAAAGTACTTTAAAAAGCCAAAAATATGACTATTAAACTATGCATCTAGTTCTGTCATCTGATGATTTCCATCACATACTGATTACAAATTTCATGCCCCAAAGTCTCATGGCTTTTTGTTAGGCATTAATGTTATAGATGTTGTTAGAAATCAGACAGACCATATAGATTAAATAGTAAACACACCATCAATTATGTTGTTCTGTCCAGTTTCAAGTACACAATGATATACAGCTAACCCTTGAACAATGCGGGGGATTGGTTCCAGGACCTGCCGCGGAACCAAAATCCGGGGATGCTTCAGTCCCACAGTCAGCGTCTGTTTCCATCATTCTGCATCCACAGATTGAGTTAACTGTGAATTGTGTAGTACTGTAGTATTTTACTGGAAAAAACCAGCATATAAGTGGATTTACAGAACACCTGTTGTTCAAGGGTCAAGTGTAGTTGAAAACTTAAATCAATGAATTTAGACTATTTTTAATAGCATCTATGTGATTATGAAATTAGATTAGGCCAACATTTTACCATCTGAAGGTAGCTATTAAACATTTTCCACAGAAACACTCAGGTGTGTGTGCCATTAAGGCAGAAAAATACATTAATTGATCATGAGCTTATTACTCAGTGTTTTAAAATTTTTCAAGTATATTTTAATCTTACTTTTTAGAGGGAGGTACAAAATTGGAAAAAGTTGGGGGAAAAAATAAAATACATTAGTAGCACTGATTATACAAGATAACTTGGTTAACAGTCAGAATATGTATTATATTCAGTTCACATTTATGTTTTATTTAAGGAATGAATTAAAAACCTCTTTGGGTCAAAAATCCATTTGGCTTAGTTTTTAACTATTAACTTTATTTGCTTTTGCTTTTTTTGAGAGGGATTTCAATTTGAGTTAACTAAATCTTAGTCCTCTCTCTCTTTTTTTTTTTTTGCTTCTGTTTACCACTTAGTTCTCCAGTTTTGTTTCAAGTTATTGTAACAATTGCCAGGAAGTAAGAGAGAGCCCTGAGGCCCATCAAATAGGTATTTCCCCTGCTCCTCAAGGGAGGATGCTTTCTCTCTAAATTCTCTTTTAAAAAACTAATTCCCATAGAAATACAGGGCTAAGCTTTAAAGTTTAATTTAAAACATTTAATGAATTCTTTCCTCTTTGTAATAATCTTCAGTTTGACACTATGTTAACTAAAATAAGGTTTACCCCAAAGTTAGAAGCACATACAACAGTAAATTCAGCAGACTGAAATGGTATGATCAAAACTGAAGAGTTCTCAAATGCCTGAAGTATAAATGGGAACATGGAATTTAAAATACAGGCTTTCATTACATAAATAGGTAAACCTTCAGAAATACTGTCTATTCTGTGTACTGAAATAAACCTGTTACAGATAAACACTGTGGACTGAATACATGTGTTTATCTTTTCTTTTTTCTCAGACCCTAATAAAATGGCA